CAAACCTAGAAACATAATCGGGGCAAACTGAGATTCGAAACCACGATCATAGCTTTCTGGCATGCCTAAGGGACACAACTCTGCACAGTGAATTGTGGAGCCTAAGATGACTAGGCCACCCATGCCCCCAGCCCTACATCAAGCTGTAGATGCCATCCATTTGTCTCCAGAAAATATTAAACTTTAATTTCATTCCAAGAACTTTTAACTCTCTTTTCCAGATACATCTTTGTTTTTAGTTATTGTCTTAAACATTCTAGACACACTTAAAGCACAACATCAGACATACTTCTTGCTGATATTGTTTAGGCTGACAAAAATTATGTGATGCGATTTATCTCTTTGCCTTTCAGCCCAAACACTTTTGTTTTTGTTTCTGTGCCTTTTTTATTATTTTTACGAAAGACATTGCCCTTTGATGTTATTTTTTTCCGGAATGATAAACTTCCCATCAAACTGCTGCTCAAACTATTAGCAGCATTCTGAAAATGACAAGCCTGTATGTCAGGAGGGTTGGACATGTGTCACTCTGTGATGAGGTCATGCTATAGACGAGCCTTATTCATTTCTAACGCTCTCAACACTAGATTGCATGTTACACATTGGAAACAATTCTGTTGTTAAATTATTTGATATTTCCTTGAACAAGGAACATTTGTTTACCTATTTAGATATTAATTTCTTTTCAGTTTATCATTTGGCAACTCGAAATGTCAACCACATGTGCGTTATTTCATTGATTTGATGGTATGGTGTTTTTGTCTAAATCACGTTTCTTTATATTGCTTTTATGAACAATGACATCATCTGCTTATCATTAGCTTTATATATAGGTATGACGGCTCTACCAGCTCACCTAGGCTATATCTATGTTGAATAATTCCTGTTTCCCAATCTCATTGTCTGAAATATGTAAAAGAAACATTTATGTTGACTATGGATGTGTGACATTATCACAAAGTTACTTAAGCATGTACACTATATAAGGAAATAAATAGGTGTTAGAAATATATCATCATTGTACACAGACATAAAACTGAAAATGATTTATGATATTCTTTACATTAATACCACACTGTGTTTGGCGGTTGTGGTTGAACATGCCATTGACCAGTGGTCAGGTACAGTTTGGATTCTACTGGGGTCATAAATAGTTTGACCACCAGGTGTCAGTTACAGCTTGATCACCTGGTCTCAGTTTGATCACAAAATGTCATAAACATTTTGATCATCAGGTCTCAGACAGTTTGATCACCAAATGTCATAAACAGTTTGATCATCAGGGCTCAGATAGTTTGATCACCAACTGTCATACAGTTTGACCACCAGGTGTCAGTTACAGTTTGATAATCAGGTCTCAGACAGTTTGATCACCAAATGTCATACAGAGTTTGATCATCAGGGCTCAGATAGTTTGATCACCAAATGTCATACACAGTTTGGCCACCAGGTGTCAGTTACAGTTTGATAATCAGGTCTCAGACAGTTTGATCACCAAATGTAATACAGAGTTTGATCATCAGGGCTCAGATAGTTTGATCACCAAATGTCATATACAATTTGACCACCAGGTGTCAGTTACAGTTTGATCATCTGGTCTCAGACAGTTTGATCACAAAATGTCATAAACAGTTTGATCATCAGGACTCAGACAGTTTGATCACCAAATGTCATAAACAGTTTGATCATCAGGGCTCAGACAGTTTGATCACAAAATGTCATACACAGTTCGACCACCAGGTGTCAGTTACAGTTTGATTATCAGGTCTCAGACAGTTTGATCACCAAATGTCATAAACAGTTTGATCATCAGAGCTCAGATAGTTTGATCACCAAATGTCATACACAGTTCGACCACCAGGTGTCAGTTACAGTTTGATTATCAGGTCTCAGACAGTTTGATCACCAAATGTCATAAACAGTTTGATCATCAGAGCTCAGACAGTTTGATCACCAAATGTCATAAACAGTTTGATCATCAGGTCTCAGATAGTTTGATCACCAAATGTCATATACAGTTTGATCATCAGGGCTCAGATAGTTTGATCACCAAATGTCATACACAGTTTGATCATCAGGGCTCAGATAGTTTGATCACCAAATGTCATACAGTTTGACCACCAGGTGTCATATACAGTTTGATCATCAGGTGTCAGTTACAGTTTGATTATCAGGTCTCAGACAGTTTGATCACCAAATGTCATATACAGTTTGATCATCAGGGCTCAGATAGTTTGATCACCAAATGTCATACACAGTTCGACCACCAGGTGTCAGGTACAGTTTGATTATCAGGTCTCAGACAGTTTGATCACCAAATGTCATAAACAGTTTGATCATCAGAGCTCAGACAGTTTGATCACCAAATGTCATAAACAGTTTGATTATCAGGTCTCAGACAGTTTGATCACCAAATGTCATATACAGTTTGATCATCAGGGCTCAGATAGTTTGATCACCAAATGTCATACACAGTTTGACCACCAGGTGTCAGTTACAGTTTGATAATCAGGTCTCAGATAGTTTGATCACCAAATGTCATACACAGTTTGATCATCAGGGCTCAGATAGTTTGATCACCAAATGTCATACAGTTTGACCACCAGGTGTCATATACAGTTTGATCATCAGGTGTCAGTTACAGTTTGATTATCAGGTCTCAGACAGTTTGATCACCAAATGTCATATACAGTTTGATCATCAGGGCTCAGATAGTTTGATCACCAAATGTCATACACAGTTCGACCACCAGGTGTCAGTTACAGTTTGATAATCAGGTCTCAGATAGTTTGATCACCAAATGTCATACACAGTTTGACCACCAGGTGTCAGTTACAGTTTGATGATCAGGTCTCAGACAGTTTGATCATCAAATGTCATACAGAGCTTGATCAACAGGGCTCAGATAGTTTGATCACCAAATGTCATAAACAGTTTGACCATCAGGGCTCAGATGGTTTGATCACCAAGTGTCAAACACAGTTTGACCAACTGGTGTCAGATGCACTTGAACCACCAGGTGAGATACATATTTACCAAAGAAACAGACGTCCATATGCTGTTCTCATGAATTAAAGTATGTTTGGTTTCAGTTTCAAAACTAGGAATCAATTTGATCATGAAATTTGTCATAATAAGATTGTGGCTCATATTTGAAGTTAACAAAAGCATCATCTGTGCCAGGCTCTTTATAAACAGTTCCTAGTGTTATGTCTATGATAATATGTGTAATTAAAATGTTCAAAATGAATGTTTTGTTATATATAGTAGTATTAGTATTATTTAGTATTATTTAGTATTATTTAGTATTATTTAGTATTATTTCCATGAATGATACTGGGCAAGAATTATTTTGATGCAAGATTTCTCCTACTCCTGATCTATCATTACCGGTTATCAATCATCAGCTGTGACCATTTCCAATCACTTCATCCCCACATCCCAAGCTGTTGCTGAGTCACTGAGCAAGGAGGTGATGATGTCATCATTATATTTATAGTGCCATGATTCGTCCTGGGACACCTACTGCCCGATCCCACTTGTTTTCTCAAAGATGCATCAGTGATCGGGATCTTTTTTCCACCTTTCAGCTTGAATTATTTTACCTTGATTTTCCTTACTACAGATGTCCATTGATTGCCTCTTCTCATAGGGACTCATTCTTTGATACATTCTTGAACACATTCTTTGACTAAGCTGTATTACATTGCAGCAATAAACCGTTATCTGTCGCAACAACATATTTGTAGATGACATCATGAAATGCCTTCTGGTGATATACATATGACTGTGATATGATGAAGTCAGTCAGTCAGTGTGTGTGTGTGCATGAGTGTGCACAGGCATGTGTGTTGACAAATATTTATTTAACAGTTTGTCTTTACTGATTCAGATATCTAGGGTGCATTTAAACTTTTTGTAACTAGTAGTAGAAGTAGAAGGAATCAGTAGCTGGACAGACCCGTGAAGATCCGGGGTAGAATAGGTCCTCAGCAACCCACGTTGACGTAAAAGGCGACAATGCTTGTCGTCAGGGGCGACTAATGGGATTGGGTGGTCAGGGTTGCTGACTTGGTTGATGCATGTCATGGAATCCCAAATGCGTAGATCGATGCTCATGATATCAATCACTGGATTATCTGGTCCAGATTTATTTACAGACCATCGCCATATAGCTGGAATATTGCTGAGTGAGGCGTTAAACAAGAAATAAACAAATAAGTAGCTGGACAATCATGCTGGAATTAAATACCTGGATAAAACAAACTGACCTGTGACTTGTCTCATTTGTGCCTCGCTCTCCTGAACACCTTAGTGGTCTTAGTAAGTGGAAAGAACATCTGCCTAGAAGGTGGAAGGTCCGTGGTTCGATCCCCGGCCGCGTTATACCAAAAATGTTATAAGATGTTACTTGTTGTTACCCTGCCTGGCGCTCGGCATTAAGGGGCTAAAACATGGGATGGCAGCTCAGAGTCAGTATTTGTGAAACTCACTGGGCTAGCACTATAAAACCAGCATAAGTCCGGACGAGTACAAGCAAAAAGGAGCAACAACGTGTGCATGTGCTGACACATGCATGCTGCTTAATACGTATATCTTAAGAGCGACTTTAAACAGACCAACCTTGAAGATCAAAAACATCATACAGATTACAGATAAAACTCATGCGGGCGTTTGATGAGTGGACATTTAGGATGTTGTGTATGTTTCCAATAATCTTGAAAGCAACTTCAAACCCAAATTCACCCACCACAAACTCTCCCTCTCTAGCATCAGATGAGCATCATTCCAATGGAATAGCCCCTATATCAGGTACATCTGTCACAATGTACACCTGTTTGATATTAACATTTAGATACATGAAGCACAACTTGAAATAAACAACAGCATGACATGTTCCCATAAAACTCCAGCAGTACAGATGTAGTTGTGACTTATTCAGCATGTAGAATACATAAACGTCACATTTCACCTCTCAACTTATGTTGTTATGATTTCAGGTGGTTGCTGTTGAAAGTTAAACACAGAATGAAATATGTTCCATCAGACGGCGGAGGGGGATTGTGTAATTCAGGTGAGCTATAGTTCAGCTGCTAGCTGACAACAATCTTACACGTTTTTTTGCACCTGTTGAAAATAAAACCCAACTGTGATTCTAACATTACCATAAGCTGTGAGCAGGATGTTTATTGCAGGAAATAATGTATGTGGCATCTTAATGACACAATTTGCTGTTAAGTAAACTATCATGAGTTTCAATGTTGTTTAGGAACAACTAACATGTATGTCCTCCCCAACCTGATTTGAATTTTGAAATAGGAGAGAATGTGGTTTACATCGTATAGAACTAATTGTTTGATTATCTGCATCGTCCCCCTATATCTCACCCCTACTCACTACAAATCAGAAGTATGCCCGCCCTCTACCTCCCCTCATCTGCCAACCCTGGAATACCCAACATTTCGCCTTTCCTTCCACCACACTTCAATCCTCAGAACCACCATCATCTGAATCCCCAACCATCTCTAAACCACCACCATCCACAATCCAAGTCCAACACTTTTTCAAAACCACACCATTGCAATCTTCCACCACCATCCTAATCATCCACATTCTCCTGTCCACCACCATCCTAATCATTCACATTCTCCTGTCCACCACCATCCTAATCATCCACATTCTCCTGTCCACCACCATCCTAATCATCCATATTCTCCTGTCCACCACCATCCTAATCATTCACATTCTCCTGTCCACCACCATCCTAATCATTCACATTCTCCTGTCCACCACCATCCTAATCATCCACATTCTCCTGTCCACCACCATCCTAATCATCCACATTCTCCTGTCCACCACCATCCTAATCATCCACATTCTCCTGTCCACCACCATCCCAAATGTCCGCATTCTCATGAATTGCAACGGGGGGCACGGGTGGCCCAGTCGTCTAAGGCGCCGTGATTCGCTGTGCAGAGTTGTGTCAGAAACCTATGATTGTGGGTTCAAATCCTGGTTCGCCTCGATTATGTTTCTAGGTTTGTCAGCACCATACCCGTGTTCGTGGGGTTTCACCGAAGTGGTAAACATCTGAGACCTACATCACTTCGGGCTTTCCTCCCACAGGAATCTGACACGCCGTGATATAACTGGAATACTGTTAAAAGCGGCGTTAAACCCAACTCACTCACTCATGAATTGCAACCCTTCACAAATCCATCCCCTTTCTTCAAAGTCTCCTATGTACACAGGTTTTCATGAGAAATGAATAATTCAGCATGTTATATTCATAACCTTATACTTACCTTAAGTATGACCAAAGCATGAAAAATACAACAAATAGCGACTCCAAAACACCGTGGTCAGTGGGCTTTTTCATGAGAAATGAATAATTCAGCATGTTATATTCATAACCTTATACTTACCTTAAGTATGACCAAAGCATGAAAAATACAACAAATAGCGACTCCAAAACACCGTGGTCAGTGGGCTTTTTCATGAGAAATGAATAATTCAGCATGTTATATTCATAACCTTATACTTACCTTAAGTATGACCAAAGCATGAAAAATACAACAAATAGCGACTCCAAAACACCGTGGTCAGTGGGCTTTTTCATGAGAAATGAATAATTCAGCATGTTATATTCATAACCTTATACTTACCTTAAGTATGACCAAAGCATGAAAAATACAACAAATAGCGACTCCAAAACACCGTGGTCAGTGGGCTTTTTCATGAGAAATGAATAATTCAGCATGTTATATTCATAACCTTATACTTACCTTAAGTATGACCAAAGCATGAAAAATACAACAAATAGCGACTCCAAAACACCGTGGTCAGTGGGCTTTTTCATGAGAAATGAATAATTCAGCATGTTATATTCATAACCTTATACTTACCTTAAGTATGACCAAAGCATGAAAAATACAACAAATAGCGACTCCAAAACACCGTGGTCAGTGGGCTTTTTCATGAGAAATGAATAATTCAGCATGTTATATTCATAACCTTATACTTACCTTAAGTATGACCAAAGCATGAAAAATACAACAAATAGCGACTCCAAAACACCGTGGTCAGTGGGCTTTTTCATGAGAAATGAATAATTCAGCATGTTATATTCATAACCTTATACTTACCTTAAGTATGACCAAAGCATGAAAAATACAACAAATAGCGACTCCAAAACACTGGGGTCAGTGGGCTCGCCTTGTGGTACAAGCATTCACCCACCTGCAGAAAACCTGGGTTTGATGACAAGCATGGAATACACTGGTGAAAACTTTGCTCACTCACTCACTTACTCACAAAGACCTCACAAGGTGTATTTTATCTGTCTTTCAGAGCCAAATAAAATCTGATTGAAACGTACGTGGAAAGGGACATCAGCCAATTCTCAGCAGTCAACATCCCACACAGGTGTGGTGTTCATTGCAAGGGAAATGTAAATGTGTCAATCATTACACCTGTAAGGTATAAATGGTTTCATATTATAATATATATCTTTCTAGAATAGCATCAGTACAGGTGTGGGAAATATGCCATGCAATTATTTGCAACAAATGACAAAACACGTACATGTCAGTATGATACTTTCTTACCACTGTCACTCATCCGCCATCCTGCCAAAATCGTTTTTTGAATTTCAGAGGTTAGGTCACAATTTGGGTGTGTTCACTTTCCCCCAATTTAAAGGTGAGGAATTAGTTTATTTTTGTGCTAAAAAGTGAAAACAGATATCCTTTCTGCTTCTTTCAATGATTTTGATGGAGAGCCGTTAAAGAAGGAAAACCATCTGGATTGACGAGAACCACAGCAAAGTGGTTTGTTCATGTGCACTGACTCATCAATTGTGGTTTCATGATTATATTTAAATTGATACTAACATGACGACTTTTGAAATTGTCTATAACTAAACTCAAACTTGCACTGGTGTGTCATCAAGGGAAGGCTGGCTGCACTAGTGTGTCATTTTACCCCAGTGATTGTGTGAACATGTGCCTGTGTTTCCATCAAGGGAAGGCTGGCTGCACTAGTGTGTCATCTTTCCCCAGTGATTGTCTGAACATGTGCCTGTGTGTCCATCAAGGGAAGGCTGGCTGCACTAGTGTTTCATCATACCCCAGTGATGTCTGAACATTTGTTTCTGTTTTTCCATGAAGGGAAGGTTGGCTGCATTAGTGTTTCATCATACCCCAGTGATGTCTGAACATGTGCCTGTGTTTTCATCAACATTTTTATCTGTCATCAACCATGAATAAACATACTGACACTCGTATTTCTACTTACTACAGAAGCCTCTCCAAGTAGCCATTTATTGTCTGCTAACCAGGACATTCAGTTGGAATGAAGAAATCTTCTAAACTTGAGTTTGGAGGTAATAAAATATAATATATTGTTTCTGAAAAAGTTCCTGTCTTACTTCTGACATGACATAGATACCAACTATCAAAAGTTAAAACTTTTATCAGGATAATTCGTCAATAAAGGCCCCAAGCAGAACTATATCATAAGGTTACAATCAGGGCAATGACCTTGGGTCTCCGGAGGGAATTGCATGTCTGTGCAACATGTTGATTTATGTTCGTAAATATCACCACTTTCTTGATAGCGATATGCACTCCATGATTTTACTTCTGTACACGAGATAAAACTGAAGAATTTATTCCTTTCGGTACCTCAAATTCTTCTGCTTAATATCAACACCCAAACATCACAGATGTAGAGGTTCAGGAAGAATCATGTGATAGCCCTAACCCATCTCTCAAAACATTGATTCTACATGATTGTACACCACACTGCATTTCTGCATGAATCGTTATGCTGTTGATAGTTGTGTGGTCTGTCTAGGGGAGGTAATTACAATTTATTGCAAGGTTTTGATATAAAACATTTGGATAAAATATAGATATATTGTCAAAGACTTTGGTCCAGACAGATAGTGTTTCAAGATGAAATATTTCAGAAGAGTAATTTTATACAATTGAATAATCGTAACAACATGTATTGATGAATAATTTCTGAATATTTTCTTCCAAGATGACCTTTGCTCTTTTTCAAAAATAAAATTTCCTCAAACTACTGAAAACATTTGAGATTTAATTGTACACATTTATTCATTTGGGATACCAATTTACATAAAAATACAATAGAGATGAAGATGATGATTATATTAGATAAATTAATTTCATATAATATCAACAAAGAATTCATTTCACACATTTGCGCAAAAACATTTGCACACAATTAATGTTTTTATTTTGTTATTGGCAAATTTATTGCAAACTGATGACAAACTGATGACAACCTCCTGGGCCTTGTCATCCATCACTTTTATGAACATTCCATCATTAATGTCACTGGATGGAGAAAGTTGATTCGTAATCTCTTCATCTATATCTGTTGATGTTCTTCTTCCTCATGCCCAAAACCATTTGTAACAAGGGCAAAAGTGAGCATGGCACCCTAATACCCCCGACCCGCCTAGTGTGTCAGTAGTTTCAAATTAAATAGCTAGGATAGGGTTAGGGTTTGAAAAATTAATAAAAAAAAATGGAAAATTAATAAAAACAATTCTTTTCTTTTGACTGCACCCCTCCATAAAACACAGATTATATGTACTAAGTTTGAGATGAATCCACTGAATAGTTTAAGAGAAGTCGCGCGGACAAAGTTTTCGGACGGGCGGACGGAACCTTGGTATAACTATATACCCCCAACCTAAAAGGTTGGGGGTATGATAATCTACTCTATTGTACTAAGCTGTAGAACTGCCTACTATCATAGCACATCACATTCTCATCATGACAATTAGTACGGAATATAAAGAGAGACTTAAGGATGCTTGTTTCATACTTGTTAATTAATTGTTAATGAGAACAAATAAAAATGTATTATTCAGTATAAATTGTAAGCTATTAAGATAGTAATATGTACTTCTTCTTTTTTCTGATATACATATTAACTCTGAGGTTGTAGCTATTTATCAAAGAGTAAGTTTTTTATATTGACCAAACTGTGAGTGAGTGGGTGAGTGAGTGAGTGAGTGAGTGAGTGAGTGAGTGAGTGAGTGAG